TTTTTTTTTTTTTTTTTTTTTGTTTTTTTTTTTTGAGCTGTACTACCAGCATCAAGCACCGTGGCACTGTGAGCCTCACTTGATGCTCTCCAAAGAGGTGGTATCGAAGCTTTGGGGTGACAGTGAAATTTTTAGCTCTGAAGATGCCTAGAAATAACTCTTCAGGTGCCCTTTAGGTGAATCCCCTCATCCTAAACCCAATCTTCTGTTCCTCGCTTCACCAAAATAATGGTGGAGAGCTGAGTCTGAAGTGGGCGGTATACTAGTGGCACTAGATGGGGTTGTGCATCACCTGGGTGGCATATCAGGATGACTAATAAACCTGAGGCTTTCCCTTGAACTTGCAGGCTTGTTCCAGCAAGCGCTTGGGGAGCAGGGCTGCAGGTTTGGAGCTGTTCAGCAGCAACTCTTTGTAGCCCAGTTGGATCAAATGCAGATGAGCAGCCTCAGTGATTGGGGGTTCAACCGAAATGTCCGTGCATGGTACGATGCTGGTTAAACGGCTCGTTCCAGCCGGCCGCGGTGCAGGCTCCTTGAAGGCTGGGATGGGATGAGCAGGCAGTGACTGTTCTAGAACAGGGCTGGCTCCTGGGGGAGGAGGGGAAGGGCAGAGGAGATGACAAGCCAAGAAAATGGCCTCTTTCCGGGGAATAAGTCTGCAGTCCTCTCTGCTAGCCCAGCTCTGTTTGCAGCCCAGAAGCAGAAGCAGCTCGGTCAGCATAGGCAGCAAAAGCCGAAACTCCACGGTGCATATAATGAGAAGTGAAGCGGCCCCCAAACTGCTTTGGTTCAGGTCAGAAATAGGTGCGAACGTGACTTGCAAAACGTGACTCAAGCTGGAGTGAAACACTGCCCCTGTTGCCGTAACCATTTGACATGCGTACTTGGAATGGGTGTGGAGGCGAGCGTAGTCCGGGGGGCTGCCGTCTCGTATGGCCATGTGACTAGATCCTTTCCAACCCTTGGATAAGGGTGGGAAAGCAAGGTTGGCTGTAGCTGCCGCTTGCTGCTTGTGCAGGATTGCTGTGCTGCTATAATTCAAGAGTAGAATAAATCTGCATAGGATTAGGTTAAAACTCTGCTTTGATGCAAGTGATATGTGGCTATCTGTCGTTCAGTCTCATAGTACCACTCGCTCCACTGCAGTCTTCCAGGAATGTATTAGCAGTCTAGGATTGCTGTGCAGTGTGCCAGTGCCCAGATCCCAGACAAAGAGGCACGGGGTGTAAACCTACCATCTAAGCCAGTGAGGGCTTACCTTTTCGGTGGGTGTGCCACAGGCTAGCCCTGCACCTTCTCCTGAATGTCCTTACCTGAGCTGATGCTCTGCTTTCTGCTTCCTCCCCCATGCTCCCTGCCCGATCTGATGATCTGCTTTCTGCTTCTGTGCTGCCCGCCCCTACCCCAATCTGCTGCATGTTGCACACCCAGGCTGCTGAAGCCACTTGTAGCACCCATGCTGCAGGTTGCCTGCTCCTGATCTAAGCCACTAGCTCTCCCCCAAATGGCATCTAATGCATCTCGTAACAAATGGTAATTCCTGTGCGAGTCTCAGTGCTGTGTTCTGCCCTAGGTTCACCATGTCTGACAGAAAGGCTGTGATCAAGAATGCGGACATGTCCGAGGACATGCAGCAGGATGCTGTAGACTGTGCCACGCAGGCCATGGAGAAGTACAACATAGAGAAAGACATAGCAGCATATATAAAGAAGGTATTGTGCCGCTACAAAATGACCTGGTTGTGTTGCAGCTAACCCTCTTAGCTACTTAGCCCTCGCCACTGATATTGGTACCTTGCAATCGCCAGCTTCCCATCCTCGCAAGCTGTTGAGAGATGCTGTTTAACCTCATTTTACGGATGGGAGCTGAGGGACCAAGGGACATGATCAGGTCAGGCAGGAAAGGTGTGGCAGAGTTTCTGCTGCTCTGTCAAGTGCTAGGCTGGCACGAGATGCTGGACCTTCCTGACAGTAGCCTGAAGGGAGGCTGCAGCTGGCGCTCCACTGTGACCTGGGTGTACTTGTGCATTGTTGGAAAGCAACTTAATTCAAACCCTGTGCTCTGACTAGCTGGAAGTCGGTAACCTGGGTTCTCAGATGGCATTCCCTTGCACTGCTTGGCTCTTCTGCGCTAAACCATTGATACAGTGCCACCTACCTGTTGCTGCCTTCTTCAAGCTGCCTCTTCTCAGTGTCCGGGGTTCTAATTCAGGTCCCTAGAGCTTTGGGTTGATGCACCAGTGTCAGCATCCCGGTGTAGTCTGCATCGCTTCACCCAGCTATATTTCAGGGCATTTCAGGTTATAACCCCAGTTTGCTGTGTCCCTTGGATAGCATTTCGCGTGCAGTTAGTTTGTATGGGGCGGGGGATGGTCTCAGACAAGGAAAGAACACTTGGAAGAACATACCTCTTGAAGGGCAAAAACAGATTGTTGTACCTGGAACTAGTTTGGCTCCATCATAATCTAAAAGTAGAGCAATTTTAAGGCTTGAAGGTTATCCATCTTAAAACCTGACCTTTCTAGGTCAAGAGGTGCCAATCCAAAACAGTTTGTGGGTGCTCCACTCCAAAATGGGATGCAAAAATAAGTAACCAGTGTCTTGTTGGACACTGCCTTTCTCTTTTTGCTGCATATTCTGTTCTGTTGGAAGACAGGTGTGGTACTTTGTTTTCTCCCTGCTGTAAAAGTTATCCGCAGGGGATTTAAACTCTGTCTGTCTGTCTTCTTGCTCTGTATAAGATCTGATCTGAGGTTTTCTAGCTTGGCTTCCTGCTTGCTCATTAACCTGTTGATTTGATACTGGAAATGGTGAATGTTTCCTGAGTTTCAAATTTTGGGGGGGGGATTGATCTTGAGAGAGAGGGTAAAGGTAAGAGGTTTGAGTTTCTAATGACCCTGTCTCAGTTCAGAAGGGATAAATTTGGGTCTAAACAAGAAGAAACCACTTCAGGTACCCCGGTTCAGGCCTCATTCATGCCAGGGCAGACAATATGCGTGTTCTTGTCTCTGTACGTTGGGAACTCTTCTATCTGAGGCCTTCAGGAATTCATGGCAAAAAAAGCCAGAACAGCAGATGCTTGACTCCTTGCTTGTCAGGTGACCTTTAAGCTCTAATGCTTTGCTAGGACAAGCACCACAGAGACTTTTGTTTCTGTGCGTGGGCTTGGAACGGGAATGGATAAGTATTGCATGGGCCCAGCCTACACATGCGGCTCAAATACAACTGGGATGCTTGAAGTCTGCTGCTCTGAAAATGTGTGAGAATCCATTTAAAGAGGACTCGTGTCATAAGACCCCTTTCACACACTGGTGTAGTCTGTGCCACTTCGCACATGCTTTTGAAGCTATAGCATCTTGCAGTGGGGAAATCCTAGTTGAGAGGTAGATGCTGACAAACGCCTCCAGCATGCGCAGCTAAGAATGTGTTTTGAGCTACTTTGGTTGTGGGTTTTCTTGGCCTTTAACTGCTGTACTCTTTTTTTTTTTCTCTCTCTCTCTCTCTCTCTCTTTTCTTTTTTTTTCCTCTAGGAATTCGACAAGAAATACAACCCAACTTGGCACTGCATTGTTGGCAGAAACTTTGGCAGCTATGTAACACACGAGACAAAGCACTTCATCTATTTTTACTTGGGTCAGGTTGCAATCCTTCTCTTCAAGTCTGGATAGGAAGTAGGAGCAAGCAAAGTTTGGACTGTAATGCACTGATGGCTGAAGCCAAGATTCCCTTTAACATGGCTGTGCCGCTGCATGGACTGTATACTCTATTTAATGTGTATATGTTGCAGTAAAAATCTACTTCTGTTTAGTTGCCTGGGAAGAAGGCGGCATCTTTTTCTTTTTCTTTTTTTTCTTTTTCTTTTTTGGGGGTTTTTTGGTTTGGGGGGGGTGGGTTTGGTTGTATTGCACTAGGAAAACCTGTAAATGCTTAAATAATGGCCTTTAAGTGGGAAGAAATAAAACTATTCCACAACAGCTCCCTCAGTGGTAACTTCTTCTTTGGTAAGACTGGGGAACTTCTTTTATATTTGGCAGACCAAAAAGCCCCTGTTGTGAGTTCAAGCAGCCTAACATAAAGGAGGAACACAAGTGCTCCTTTCCAGTGATAGTCGAGGGTAGGTGTGGAAGCTGTATGAAGCTGGCTGTCTTTAGAGGCTCAGCAGTGAAAGGGGAAGAAGCTAGAAGGTGCGGTGGCTTTTGTTCAATAAGGCTCTGATCCAAACAATTGCCACATTAGGACCATGTGTTTTTAGTACTGAAGACCGGTCCTTGATGTTCTCTGTAACAAAAGAATGTCCACAACCACAATCTTGGATTTGGCCTAAAACAGATCTGAGATCCCCACCTTTTTATTAAGTAGTTACCTTTTGTGGGAGGATGTCCTCTGGCCTTAGCTTTTGTGTTAGTAATCCTGCTCTCTTAATGGGTGAGACCTAATGCTGGCCAACTGATCTATCCCCAAATCAGTGATGGCTGACAGCAGGCAACCTGAACAGTTTGATTCGGCATGTCCTTATCAAGTTGTCTCAACACTGCCTTAACTCAAATCTGTGCTCCTAAATCCTCTCTCCTAAAAGGAAAGAGCCCTTGTAATCCTATGGAAGACCTGTAGATAGCCACTGTCTTTCCATGATGGCTGTTGGAGACGATGCTCTGTGAACAGCTCTTCTGTTCTGATTTGCATCTTCTTGAGCACAGTACCAAGTTCAGATTACGTGCTGCTGTGTGAAAAACAACATCTGCTTTAAAGGCAGGAAGATGTTCTGGTCTCCAGTGGTCTCAGCGGTATTGTCTTAGTGTGTAGTGACTCTTCCATCACAGGAAGCCCCTCTTTCTTTTTGGGTTGTCACAAAAGGTTAAAATATATATATACTGTGGCTTCAGCAGACTTTCTGGTGCTTGCAGCAAGGTCCTATTTATTGGTTGCTAATGTAGGCAAAACTCCAGACTGGAGCAAGCTCGGTTTTAGGGCTAGCGATTCCTAACTAGTTCAAGATGAACTTGGCTCGTGGAAAGTAAAATGCCATGCTTTTGTTTTAGTGCTTTTCTGGGGGGAGGGGAAGAGGGTAGCTGTTTTAATTGTGAAATGACTTGATGGCCCAGGCCGACTGCTTCCCGAAGTAAAAGTCCTTCTCGTCTCTGTAGACTGTGCAAAATCCAAAGTATGCCTAATTTTGTAATATTGATAGAATCATGTTGTAACTAGAAAGAATGTAGTTGTCAACTTATTTCATGTTGATGGAAATCTCCCCGTCTGGGGGGGCGATGTGCCTTGGAGTAACTGGGGCACTCCAGTGGTCTTGTCTAGTCAACTCCACTCTTCATAGAAAAAGGAAAAGGTTTTGGTTCTTTCTATTACTATTTTTTTTTTTCCCAAGCATGAGTCTAATGTGAGCCTGTTCATGGTCTCTTGTGGAGCAAGATGTTCCCTTCATAACTGCAATTGCTCAAAATACCATTTTTTTTATTTTATTTTTTTCCAAACATTAAAGGTGAATTGACACACTTAAACAGCTTCTAGTTTCTTTTTCATACTAGACTGGTAAAGGAAATGGTGACAGTGGATGGAGGGCATGGCATTTGGGGCAGACTGTGCCCATGGTCTACGGGGGTAAGGATCTACACTTGGGTACTGCAATGTTAACTTCCTGCTCTCAGGGACCCAGTTTTCCAGTTCACCAGGTTTGACCTTAATGGTGTCTCACTGAAGTAAGAGAAACATTAAGCCAGACTGCTACTGACAGCACGAGCCTGGGAGAAACTTCACCCAACACCTTGCAGCTGCTAACAGGAAAGTCTTTGGCCTGTGGTTTCTGGTTCTGGGTGGGAGGGGTCCAGACTGCAGCACCTACATGACCTACCCTTGCTTCCTGTATGTGATCAGGCAGCATGCCTGTAGCACTCATGTCTTGTAAGCCCTTCCTGCATCTTCAGGCTTAGAAGCGAGGAGAAGCAGCGCTCCAGAGTACAAGCAGGCCCGTGGGCTTTTGTTTGAGGAGCCTCCTCAAACGATTGCTTGACATGCTGGAGGAGGAGGAGTGGGGGGGAACAAGAACGAATGCAGTAACGTGACTACCATGACACAGCAGCAATCCAAGCCTCTTGCCAGATGGAGTGGTTAAAAGCAGAAGTGGTTTCTAGCTTCCACGAGCTAAAAATGAGACTGTTCTCGACTACATCAGCCACTCGCTTCTGGAATAGGCTTGGATCTCAGCCCTTGGTGGTGTGGCCTTAAAGGCTCTGGAGCCTTGCCTGTGCGTCAAAATACAACTGTCCCAAATGTGCACACTAATAAGACTTGTCTGACTGGTTAGCATTCCTGCATCCTGCTCCATGTGTGGGGAAGGACGTTGCTACAGATTGCTGAGGGCTTTGGGTCAGGAGGAGGTAGTGGACTTGATGGGAGAGACCCAAGAGGGGGCATCTGATTCCTCCGGGATCAGCTCTTTGACCTGCAGGGCAGGCTCTGGTCCTGCCTGTCTTCAGCTTTCATTTTAAACTGACTGAAAACACACACATCACACCCGGGCTTGTGAGGGGTGGAGTCTCCAAGCCTCTGCATGTCAGGAGGCATTTCCCATAGAGCCAGCTGATGCTACTTTCTGGCTCAGTGCTGAGCATCTCCTGTTTCCACTGACTCGCTCTGAGCCCAGAGCCCTTAATATTAACATCTAACTACTTTGGCACTAACTGGCTTAATAGGTTTCAGTAGGGGGTAAATGTCTTTAAAGATTTGGCTTTTGCCCTAAAAACGATAGGAAAACAGGTGGGTTTGGGGGTGGGGAGTGCAGGGAAACAACTGGAAAAGGAAATCTGTTTTCAGATGCATCTGGGCAAAAAAGTCACTTTAAATGCAAATCACCATGTCTCTTCTGTTTTAGTTTGAGTGCTTTAAAAATGCTTAATCCTCACAAGCTGAGATAGTGGGTGTGAATATTTGTATGCTGGCATTCAAGCACAGGCATGTTTCTTCAGTTGGCAAGGTAAGAATAAATAATGCTTTACCAGGCACAGAAGAACCAGGGCTTTCTTCTATAAGTTGCTCTCCGAAAGCAAAATTTTGTTAAAGCACAAAGGGGCTGCTAATACACGTCACAGCTGAGCTCGGGGTTTCTTTTTTAGGTGGGGAGGCTAGAGGAATGAGGGAAGGCACATCTAACCTAGCACAGAAAGCAAGACCAGTTGTCAGACTGGATGGCTTGCGCTTGGAAGTGACGTCTCTTCCAAGCCTGTCACCTGTGCTGAACTTGGAGAAATTACAAATGATCCTTAGCCTCAAACTTTGCTTTCTTAATTAACCATGGGCCAATGCTCTGGTGCTCTTAATTGGAGTCACTAACTATCAGTATTAAGGGCTGACCTGCCCTACCCTTACAGGCCTGATTCATCAAGGGCCTGCTGACTCTGGAAGGATTGTTTGTGGCTTAGGACAGTTGCTCAGTCTAAGTAGGAGCGTGGCTGGTTTGTCTTTTCGTACCCAAGTTCTTTGGTAACACCTATATTTTAAACTTAACCAAATTGACTGATACTGAAAAACCAGCACTGGCACTTTCTCAGGTGGGTGGCAGGAGCTCATGGCTACAGTTCACTCTTCTTAACAAGAAGACCTTTACTTCCATGATTGTGCTGGGCAGACTTGCCCTCCTTTTTTTTTCTTACTACACTTGGGGAGGAAGAAGAGGCATGGAAAATTTCCCTGCTTTAGAAACTTTTTGGCAACCTGAATCTACCTGCCCCTATGGCAGGGGGCTGGACTTGAAGATCTTCCGAGGTCCCTTCCAGCCCTAACGTCCATGAATCTATGAAACGGGGCAATAGTATCACACCCTGCTCACATGAACAGTACAGCTATCTTTTTGTCTTATGTACTCAGGGCCTGATTCTGATGGCTGTGCATTGACTCCTAAAAGTAGCCCTAGTCCCTGGCTCTCCCAAGTGGCTGACAAAAGGTGTCAAGAGTCATGATCTTTATCTTGCAGGAGGAGATTCTTCTGCTGTGGAGGGGGAAAAAAAGGCTGAGCAGGCTGCTCCCTTCCAGCTCTGGCTTGAGTAAGAACCGGTTACCAATTAGACAAGTGACTGTTTATCACAACCTCAATGGGGTTGAGCTGGCTCTTACTAATGGCCTCAAGTGACCCGAGCATTTGATGGCTCAGCCCTGGTCTGTGAAGGCGAGTGGTCTCTGGCCAGTGTTTGGGAAGCAGTCTATAGGTCGGTCAGAGGCTGCTGGTGGACTAGGCCTGGATAGTGACTTGTTACCCGCTTGGCGAAGGGGCTCTTGGCAGGTGTGGGGCAAGGAAGCACAGGGGAAGTGCTGCTTCTCTGCTTGCAAGTATGGTTGGGAGCCTTCCCATGGCAGAGCTGTCGGGCCAGTCCGTTGAATGAATGTTAACCAAGAAAGGGGCGAAACAAATCCTACAAGCAGGCACCCTGCCAAAGTGGTCTCTTGAGATCTCTACTCGGCAGGCCGGCTTAGCCTGTGCCTATTGCTTTTTCTCCCCGCACCTTGGCTGTGAATCTTGCTTTAAAAAAATCAGCGTGCCCAAAACAACCTTAACTCTTGTTCCCCTTTTGTTTCTAGAGGAGGAGCTGAGCTGCAGGAGCAATGGTTACAACCCCCTAAGGGAGCTGGTGTAGGACTCGGGTGAGGCCCCAGACACCTCCAGAGCCTGGCTTGCAGCTCCCTAGAGCCACTGCTTGCTATAAGAAGATGCTTTTTCCTCCAATCTTTCTTGTTTTCTTCTTAAGGGGCCTCTTTTTTTGCAGAAAACGTGCTGGGAACACAGCTCCTCACCACAGGCTTGTCTGGGCAGCATTGTGGGCTTGGGACTGCTTTGACAGGGCATCGTGGCAAGTCTTTTATGACCCTGGTCACAGCCAGTCCATGGTACCCCTTCCCAACCGGTAGAAGCTGAACCTCAGCGTTTGCCCCTAGATTTTTCCCTTCGGTCACCATGTGCATGAAGCTTTCTAGTAACGTGTGGCTGAGCAGAGGAGGGAGGCTCTCTCTGCATCTTCCTCCCCTCTATTTGCCCCACCGCCCGTTCCCATGTCTAGGTCTATTCAGCAGTGATGGCGATCCCTTATGGTCGAGGATGATCACACCACGGGTCAAGTTTCTGGGTCTATGATGGGCCTCCTTGTAACAGGGAGTGAAGCCTTGAGGCCCTTTGAGCTGGCATTTCACTCGGCCCTGCTCCCTGCCAACCTCAGGAAAGCTCTGTCATTGCCACTGCCTTGCCGCTTGTACCCACATCCTATGCATGTGCTGCTTTCCTGCGCCCATTGTTCCCTCCGCTGCATACAAGCCACTGTGGCTGGTTTGTAGCTGCTGCACTATAGCCCAGCCAGCGACTCTCCTGCCTTTCCATCTCCCTTGAAAGTGCTCTGACCCCCCAGCTTTTGCCCAGGGGCTCTCCTCCCTGCTTCCCCCTGGTAGTGCTGCTCTGCCTCCAGAAGCTGGAGTGGAGGGATCCTTTTGCATTTCAAGATGGTTCATGGCCTTTTGTTTTGCCTCTTGCGCTTTTCTCCCTCCCACTGCAGCCTGAATGGAATGATTTCAGGGGCGAGGAGCTTGCTGGGAGTTGCTGAGAGCCTTTGCATTGGTTGGGGCCCATGCAAATATCCAAGGAATTTGCCATAGCAATTCCTAGCTCCTGTTCTCCCTCAACTTCCTTAGCTTTGCTAAAAGCCGCCTTTTGTTCCTGGTGCCGCAGCCTGCAATTATAAAACCCAGCATTGTACGGTGCTTTTAATCTGCAAAGCACTTTGCAAGCATTAGCCAAGTAGTCTATTTGTTCTTCTGCTCTATACAAGCAAATTCCACCCCCTTCTCCCCTGATTTTTGTATTAAGGTTTAGGC